TTGTCGAACAACGATGTTTTCAAATGACCGTTCAGCTATTTAAGACAAAATCTTTCCATTTTTGAAAGTCAATCACCCCAACATCGATGTAGACTTCTAAACATTGATGTTTTGATGACCGTTAGCCATTTTTAAAGGAAAGTCAAAGCCAAAACAATGATGTTCACTGTATGAACATCGATGTTATGCCAAAATCCTGTAGACCAACTTTGATTTGATTTCCACAAATCATGCCATTAAACCCCAATCAACTCCCATCCGTTACTCATCATTTATGGGTATAAATATGGGTCTTTTGGGTCTACTTTTATCAACCATTCCTCACACATTTCATAGCTTTACATTGCATCATTCCATAAACTTTTTACATAGCTTTTTAGAGACATTTCTTAAGGAATTGAGTGTGTTCTTGATCTAAATTAGTTTACTCATATTCTACTCTTTGAGAGAGTTTTTGTTCTTGAGTGGTTAAGTGTTGTAAACACTTTAAGGGAGGTTTGTTCCCTTGGTTGTACGAACGAATGGTATATTCCTTCGAGTTGAAGTCTTGGAGTGCGACATCTCCTAACAAGTGTATTGAGGCTCGTGGGACTCGAGTTCTCAGGTTGTAACGGTTTGTTAAGCACCCGTAAGCTTAACAGAAGTAGTGTAGCTCGAAAGAGTCTCTCGGGAGACTGGACGTAGCCACACGTTGTGGTGAACCAGTGTATATCGGTGTGTCCTTTCCTTACGCTTTTTAATTCTGTTTTTTAATTTATCCTTGCGTTTTTTTATCCGCGAAAGTTCATAAACGTTCTCGTGCCTCACTATTCATCCCCCCTCTAGTGAAGGGCACTTATTCTAACAAGTGGTATCGGAGCCAAGGTCACGAGTTCGATTCCCAGCGGGAGCAATTGCTGAGGGGGAGATTGTTAGCCATGTGTACAGCAATTGTCCCGTGGCAGAGGCTATGTGGGCCAAGTCACAGCCGAATGTTGTGGGCGCTTGTGTGCTGAATGGACTATAAGGCTAGGGTATGCACCTCTTCTAACACCAATTGGTTTTAGAAGAGTTGGTAGCGCCTGAGGTCCTACAGCTTAAAGTTCTACGAATGACCAAAAGCTCTCCATCATCTGGTCCAACATACTCTTCTTCTCCTTTATCCCATGAAGGGTCAAAAATATCATCATTGCACTCCACAAGAGTCCTGACCTTCTTTTTGAGACAATCTTGAGCTATGTGACCAATTCCTTGGCAACGATAACACTTTGGAGTTCAGTTGATATTTTGATTGTGCTTAGGTTGATTTTGGATATTTGAGGGAGGGGTTGGAAGTATGGGTTTTTGGTGAGAGGTGGGGCTGTGGGAGGTGGAGGGGATGAAAGAGTGGGGAGTAAAGGTGGATATGAAGAGGAGGTTCTCATTTGGGCAGCCTTGCCTTTCTTGATTTGGCTTTCAACTTTGAGAGCCAACTTTGTAAGATTGTCAAGGGTGTGGTAGTCTTGCAGCTCCACAGTGTTAGCTATTTGTGTTAGATTAACGTCTCAACGCTAGAGGGGGGGAGGGGGGGTGAATAGCGTTTGAAACAAAATAACGCAGGAATAAAAAATTTAAAGGCGTAAAGTAAAGAGTAAGGAGAAGGCACACCAAATTTTACCCTGGTTCACCACAACGTGTGGCTTGTCCAGCCTCCCGAGAGACTCTCTCTAGCTACACTATCAACCTTAAGCTTAACAGTGCTTAACAAACCCGTACAACATGATAGTTCGAGTTACACGAACCTCAACGATCCTTCGAAGGAAACAACCCTTCCTTCGAACTACACAAGAGAAATGCTTTCTCTTTTCAAGTGTCTAAAACACTAAATCACTCAAGAACAACTACTCTCTTTTAGAGTGGATACTGAGTAACTAAGAACGCTCAAGAACACACCACGAAATTCACAAAAATGGCTCTCGAAAAGCTATGGAAAATGTATGAATGTAATGCAATGAACAATAAGAGTTGTGAAGTATTGTGATGTGAAAAGTGGACCCAAAAACCTCATTTTATAGTAGAAAAATAGGCTTCAGCGGGTAGGAGTTTATTAGGGGTGATTGGCATAATTTGTGAGATTTGATTAAAATTGGATCTGCTGAAAACTAGCCTGACAGCGTTGTCCATCACTTGGACATCACTGTTGCAGGCTTAGATTTTGAAATCAAGGCTTCAATGGTCAAGCCAACAGCGATGTCCAAAAAAGGGAACATCGCTGTTCAGGCTGTTGACTTCCAAACTTGGAAAGTTTTAGCCTTAAATTTCTTCCAACGGTCAGGTGCCTACATCGATGTTCATAACGTGAACATCGCTGTTCAGGCTTAACCTTCCAAGAAAGAAATTGGCCTGACATCGCTGTTGCTGGGTCAACAACGATGTTCAAAAACTTTCTGCCAAAATGTTTTCTTTTCACTTAGGTTGAACATCGATGTAGAGATGTCTACATCGTTGTTCAAAAACTTTCTGGAATTTCAGGCTTGGCTCAACAGCGATGTACAATATCCAACATCGCTGTTGGAGGACTTAGCACCAAACCATGGTTTTCAGGAACCAATGCCAGACAGCGCTGTTGGTTACCCCAACATCGCTGTTAGGCTGGTTTAGCCAGATCCCATGGCTGGTCAGTCATGCCGTAAGCCGTTGTCAAAAATAAAAAATCTCCAAAGTTAAAACCAAGTGTTAAAAACATTTATTTGAAGTATTTTGCTAAGAAATCAAGTGAGACATCTTAAAACCAACGTCATTTAGGTAAAAACCATGGCTAAGCCAAGTTTATGCCGTTTCACATGGTTTTTTCCAAACGACAAACAACGAAAGGTGGTTTTTGAGGTGTTTTTGTTGGAGAACTATTTAAATGTGCCCAGAAGTAAAAACCAATCATAAAATTTTGAAAACCACTTGGTTGATTCGGACGCCAAAAACGAACGCCGATAACTGAATGCCGAAAGCTGGTTTCTAAAAGGCGAATGCCGGTTTCTGAAACCCGAAAGCCGGATGGCTTGGTTTTTGGTTTGGGCGAACACCAAGTGTTTTAGGCTTATTTAAAACTTGTGAAAAACATTTTTGATGATGCATAAAAACGTTTTAATGCAATTAGCCTAGAGAGCCAAGTTTTAGAAGTTTATGCTGGTCTTGATCACATTAAGACCGGCTCAACTATTTCTATATCTTCGTCCTTGGTTCTTGATTCTCGTTTTTACTCAATCATCATGTCATGTTCCTTCGCCTTTGGGTTGTTCAATATGATCTTGTTTTCGTAGCGGTTTGGCATTATCAAAACTTGTCATAAAACGAACACCATTTAGTACGACGTAGGCGTAAACCCGTGTTCCAACAATTTGGACATTCAATCCAAATAGATACCTCAAAAAAGTTTGCGAGTCATCTTCTTGAAGATCACACCTTAACAAGAGTTCCTCGAACTCTCGGTCGTATTCCTCTACAGAACACGAACCTTTCCTCAAGTGTTGAAGCTTAGCAAAGTTTTCTCTTATGTAGTTCTCGGGGAAAACTTCTTCTTTAAGAGTGCTCGCATCTTGGTCCACGAGGTCATCGGGGACTTGTTTTCTCTCCTACGCCTAATGGTGACGTTGGTCCACCATGTTGACGCATACTTTCTAAACTTTAAGGCCACGAGTTTGACCTTCTTCTCTTCCGGGACATCCTTGAAGTCAAATACATGTTCAAAGGTCTCTAACCATTCAAGAAAGTCATCAGGATCATTCTTTCCTTCGAAAGTGGGCATGTCAACTTTGAAATCAGAGGCTGACTTCTCCGGGGTTCTAGCTCTTATGGTAGCAACAGAACTAGGACATCTTCATCTTCACTTTCTTCGGGAGTTTGAACCATACTCAACATGAATTTAGTGAGCTTTGCCACTTCTTTTGTCAAGTATTTAACTTGAGCCTTCAATTTTGCATTTGAAGCAATAAGCTCTACTTAGGACATGTTTTGAGTTGCGTGATACATGGTTTAAACAAACAAGGTTTAGGGGAAAGGGGTGTGGTTGGTTTGGCCAAGGTGGAGATAGGGCTGTTTGGTTTGGCGTTGGGGTTTTGGGAAAGGCAAGCAAGAGGGAATAACTATAAATTCCAAAGTTTAGAGACGTGTGTTAGTCAATTATTACTTCCTAATAATTGATTAACAGAATCTTGTCTCCAAACCAAGAAATTTCAGAGGGGATAGATAATCAATTATCACTTGGGAGATAATCGATTGTAAGATTTTGTTGCCTATGCTAAGAAAATTCAGAATGGTAAGATAATTGATCATCAATGCTATCACGATCAAGATTTGGACAGAAAGAGGGAGTGAGAGGGAAGTGTTTGTGGTCCTCAAAGAGATGTTCAAGAACAAGCTTTGATACCAAATGTTATACCCAAGCTTGAGGTAAGCTAGGATAAAAACTCAAGAAGAGAAAGAAAAGGGAAATACGAGAGGTAGGGTGATGTACCCTGGATGGCTCCACCAAAACCCAAAGTCACCCAACATATCCAAAAGTCTTCTTTCTTTTTTTTAATTCAAAATAAATTCTTTTCCATCCATTTTTAACCCCTGGTCAAAAATGAGATCAAAGGAAGGGAAAATAAGACCTTAGTTTCTTGTTTTTATCTTTTAAAGTCTTTGTTAGCCAAATAATGTCTTCCCCTCTTCTTCCTACATTAGGGACGAAATTCAGCTCCTTTTTGTTCCTAAAATCCAACCAAATCACCACTTATCACAAAGGAACAAAAATCAGCCAAAAGTCATAAAGTGGAATAGTGATTTCTTGTCTTTTCTTGACTATTTCCACACCACACCATTTAATGATCTTTCTTTATTCCTTCTTGCACTATAGGCCGAAACAGCCCATTATCATTCTAAACCCCACAAATATCCTTTCTTGATTCATATACTAACTGCCGAAAATAATAACTCACATCAAGACAAAAGGAATCCTCAACTAGTGATGTACCTAAGCTTAAGAAAAGCTATGGATGAATAAGGGCAGATTAAAGATGGGAATATATGGTGAAGAATAGGTTGAATTTGTGTATGAAATGGTGAAGAAAGTATGGTTGTTTGGAAGAGGTGATAGGGTGGAATGGAGGGCAGGAGAAAGGCAATATTTGGAGTGGTTTTTTGATGAAGAAATGAAGTGTTTAAATGGGAGAAAGGGGATGCACGAAATTGGGAGAGAAAGAGGGAGTTCTTTTGTGGTTTTTGTTGGATAAGGATAAACCAAATAATAAATAGGAGATAAACACACTCCAAAGGAAAGGGATAGCATTAAAAGCCATCAAAGAATCAACGATGAATGATTCAAGCGACGATGATGAAGTCAAGCTTGTCATGAAGATGTTTTGTAAACTTCTAAGGAAGAAAGAGAAGGTTGAGGATGGCCCTGTGTGCTATGGATGTGGTGAAGCCAGGCACATCAAGAACAAATGCCCAAGAAGCGGAAGGAATGCTCGTCACTTCAAAAAGCAAAGAGCATACATCTCTTGGGGTGGCGACTCCGGCGATGAGTCAAGTGAGCAAGAGGAAGACGAAGAGGCAAACCTTTGTCTCATAGCTCAAGAAGAAGAGGAGTCCGCCAACGACGAAAACCAAGAGGTATGTATTTCTTCTACTGATTCTTATTCTCTTGAAGAAATGCAAGAAGCTCTCCAAGAGCTTTATGACGAGTTTGTTAGCGCTTCTAAAACCAACAAAGTTTTAAAGAAACGTTTTTCTAATCTTGAAACTGAACTTGAAAAACTTCAAAAGGAAAACGAAAAACTAAAAGAGGAAAATAAATTTTATGGTAAAAGAAGCGCCGACAAACTCGAGAGCTCTACAAAAAATTGTGACTCTTGCATAGCTTTCAAAGAACAAGTCACAAAACTTGAGAACACGGTTAAGAAATTTAATACTCCGCACAAAGATCTTAATTTACTCCTTGACACTATGCACTTCTCTAAAGAAGGAATAGGTTTTAATAAAAGCGAAGCTAATGATAAAGAAAACGTTGACCAAACACCTAGACAACCTTCTAAGGCTCAACGTAAGAAAGCTAAAAATCAAGAAAATAGAAAACCTAGTCAACCTAAGCACACTAGACAACCAAGACAACAATCTAGGGATGAAAATGTTCATATTAGACAACCTAGGAAAAATTATCAAAATGATTTTATGCACAAAAATAATTTTTCAAATAGACAAAATAATGCTTGGACACCTAGAAGAGAAAATTTCCAACATACCCAAAAATCAACATTTTCTCAAAATAGGATGAATATGGTTAGGCCTCCTGGTAGCTATTATGTTGTACCCCACCATGCATCACAATTAAAGAAAAATCAGGGGTTAATGCTTGAGTGTTATAATCCTAATTCGGTTGAATTTATTCCTTTTTCCCATCAAAAAGCCCAACCCTTAGCCCTTGTTGCCCAAAATCCCCCCTAACCTAATCACAACCCACAAACCCTCTCCCACAACATCCTAACTCATTTCCTCTGCCCAAAATAAAGTCTTTGTTATTCATTACTAAGCCTAGGCCGAAGGTGAACAACAAAAGACAAAATAAAACCATTGTTTGTTTTTCTTAGACATGATAATCGATTATCCAACATAGATAATCGACTATTGCTCCCCTCTGAATTCTCCTAACGTATTCCTGCAATGCTCCATAATCGATTATCTCCCAATAGAAAATCGATTATCACTCATCTCTAAAGATATCCAGTTTGGAAGCCAGTCCTTGTTAATCGATTAATCTTGTAGTGTCAATCGACTACTGGATACCTCTGAAAATTCTTGGTTTAGCAGACACACCTTGGTAATCGATTATCAGTAAGAGATAATCGATTATCACCTGTCTCTGAACTTAGAAACCAAAGTGGTCTTTGATTTAACAGTAAAGGTTTTGTCATTTAGGAACACACTTAACTACAAACCATTCCCACTATATATGGACGAAATTCCCATGTTATTATTCAACAAAATCAAAGACTTTTACAATACAAAACAAAGCTTAATCCCTCATCCATGTGCCTGCCCAAAAAGTCTTTGATTGAATAGTAATATCTTGTCCTATTACTCACTAAAAGTCAAGCCATGTTGTTTCCTTTATTCTCTCACCTTAAGGACGAAAATCATACATTAAGACCACCCAAAATACATGCCAAATCCCTGATCATTAGCCTTGAATTCAACTCATTTGGGATATTAACACATGCACAGCATTTTGTTAAATATATTCTATATTTAATGTAAATATATTGTTTCCTATTATTGTCTCCTACCTTGTATAGGATTAGGAATATATTGTTTCCTATTATTGACTCCTACCTTGTATAGGATTAGGAACTCTTATGTATATATAGACATGTACTCCCACATATTTGATCAATGAAATTAACCTTTCTACATGGTATCGGAGCCTAAAAATCAAAAACCCTAAACCCCCCCTCTCTCTCTCTCGTTCGGCCTTCTCTCTCTCGCCGTCAGCGCTGACTCCCCACGGCAGCTCTCCTCACCGGCGACACCCTCTCCTCCTCGACGGTTCTCTTCTTCCCCTC